GTTCTATTAAAACTTAAAAATAATACTTTTTATAAATGATTTGATAAATACAAACATCCAATATTTTTCCTTGTCACAACACACAAAACTCTGTTGTCTATCTTTTCTTTTTGTTTCAAGTTGCAAAATATTATGATTATAAAATATTAATGAAAATGTGGACTCACTATTCATTTTTTTCTTCCTTTTTTCTTTGATAAGCATGCTAAGTAGACCATACATAAATAGTGTAGCTTTTTTTTATGGGGAAGAGAATGGAATTCTTTAGAAAACAGAAATAAATATGCGACCCTAATTCATATTTATAAAGATATATATAAGTGTTTTTAAAATGTGTGGGGGATGAATATGGCAATAGTGTTTAGCGGTTAAGTCAAAAACATTTGCTGCAAAGTCCATAAGAGTTGGCCATATCCTTGGAAAAAAAGAAATCAATCAATCTAGTTGGCCATGTCCACATTTTCTTTATTTCCAAGATTTATCTCGTATATATCTTCTTCCATCATCAGTATGAAACCCACCATTACAATGAAATGTGTGATAAATATATACATATTCCCTTCATTAACGTCTAGTTTGTATTCCAATATTGAATTTCATCATGCTTTTACTTATTAGTTTTGTATTAGAGTTAATATGGTATAGTCGATGTAATTGGGTGTATTGGTGGAATAATATGGTAAAAGTTATACGACGAGTCTATGGCATACAAACTATTAATGTAATGAAAGAAAATCTTAAGCAAGATAGATTCATTTGAGCTAAGAAAAAACCCAGGCCAAGTACATGATTGTGAATGTATAAAAAAACCCTAAGAGAAAAAAGAAAAAAAAAAGACTATAGTTGGGGTTGGTAAAGTTGCATTATAGGTTTAGGAAATAGGAAGCTATAAATAATTTATCCAATGAGAATATTATGTAGAATTGATGGGAGATAAATGTTCACTCTCTTTCAAAGTAGAGCCCAAAAGCCACAATATGACAAATTTTTGTGGCATAAAGAATTGAAAACGACCCATGTTATGGAGGGAATCCTTTTTCCTCTCTATCTTTTTTGTTTGAT